AAGGGACTGTAACATTTCCCCCCTTTTTAAAAAAAAAAAAAAAAAGAAAAGAAAAAGAAAAAAAAAAAAACCCAACCTATACATTACATATCGAAATAAGAAGCTCCGCAACAACAGTTTCCTCGGCTGAAACCACTCGCTATGTTAGGAAAGCACCTGATTATTGTTTTTTCAGCAACACTCATTTCCCGTTATTTTGATCACAATTATTTGTGACTTTCGAAACGAGGTAGCAGGAGGAATGATGAACTAATACTACGACAAGTCTCAAACATTCTTTTAACTAGGAATTTACTTATCTCTTATCATCCACTAGTTTATACCCAACACGACCAATTTGAAATAAGCTTTCATCACTCCTTCACACGGCAAAGATAAGAAGAAGATTGAACGCTTAGATGAAACATCGACATTGAGAACGTCACACGTTATGTCGTCAAAGCGATGCTTGCCAAAACATCCAGCAGTCTTGCATGCAGTTTAAATTATATCAGTTAGAGTTGAAGGAAGGAAAAGGGATAACTCCGGTGACAGTTGAAGACGTGGCCACCAACCGGAGAAGATGGGGATTAAACAGTAGCATAAGGAATTGGAAAAAAAATGATAATAAAATGCAAGTCGCCAATCCAAAACTTCCGTACCGCGTGCCACCAAAGATTTTCCTGGTTGGCGTCGGCTCGATTTCTCAAGAAGAAGAAGAAAAGAAAGATGTATGATGAAGGGCGGAAAAGTCGGGGTGGTCTATTTGCAAATACATAATAAAATTGATCGTAGCTATAGCAATGCCTCGAATGTTTAAAAAAAATCACCAAATTCAGAGTCTTAACTTTAACAGTCGCCCTTCCAAAGCTTCTTTCAGCATTTATCGTATTTTTATTTTGTCTAAGCGGTTAAAATGTTCAGAACAATACTGATCATCTTCGGCAATCCGGAAAAGGATGTACTTAAGATAATTACACGCCTTAATAGAGCTTGTGTTTTAAATAGGGAAGAGGATAGGCCTTTTCATTTTCCTACATCCTTGGCGTCAGAGCTTAAGACTCATTGTGGACGCGCCCCTTACGTTTATGAGTCAGTAGTACCATTACCATGGCTTGCCATCCGCTCTCAAATGTATGTTTGAGGAACACGTGAATTCAGGATCACGCAAAGTGAATTCCCAAGCTAAAAGTCCACTCAAATGTCTGAATGGTCATAAGCGGTTGACACCCCACCCCCCCACAGAGCTCAAGAGTTTCCGAGTTTCCCGCTTACCCAGTCTCTCGGTAGTCAGGAAAAGTCCGGAAAGGTAATCCATTTTAGAACTTATCGTACACGTGTGATATTCGAAAACAACTAGCAGCAGTCTGTTATACAATAGTATGAATAAAAAAATAGTTCAAGCTAAAGAAACCGCATCATCTGGTTTTCTTACGTATGATCTCACGGGAACTTTGCAAAAGGAAGGGTTCTACCCTTACATCAGTTTTAAGCTCTACCAAAGACAGATTACGCTGTAGATCTGTCTGCCCCCATTTAGTCGCAGAATTGTGTCGGGAACGCGAGACTTTCTTTCTCTCTCAAACTATAAAACTCTTTGGTGTAAACTGAGGGTGGACGAGATATCAGGAAAGTTTCGTGACACTGGATTTCCGTTTTCTTTCAGTAAATTGAATAAAAGCCGTGTATGTTGATTCATGGTAACCACAGCTTCCGTTTCAAGTGCTCTAGCTCAATGAGGCCATCCAAGAATAGCAAAGCGCAACTCAATACCGAACCAATATCTTGGATGACATGTGCGCCACATAAGTTTCCATTTCTACGCCGACGGAGAAGTTACTTATTAAAGTTACAAGTTTGAGCTATGCAATATAAACATTATTAGCCAGATAGCACGCGGCAGCTCGCGCCTCTGGAGCAAGGACCTCCCACCAGGTGTTGATATCATATGCGAGCACGTCCACAGATACCTGTAGAAAATGGGTTTCTTGTTACAATCTTGATGAAGATTACGTTGCTTCATGCCGCTTGCATTTCTCTTTTTTCTTGCAGGGCTTCACTCTAACGCCTTCACAGCAAAAGACTGCTGAGCTGACGTCATTTGAAAATATCTCAAGACAAATTATCTTGTTTTGCGTTGAGAAAAAGTCAAACTCCACTCAGAGCAAGCACGATTAGCTTTGTGGAATCAGCGATGACCCTACCAAGCCACTTTCTCGTATTTTTCTTTGGATTGCTGGCGTTGAGAGCAGCAGAAGTGAGCTCCTTCGGAAGAAAGACAGTCAAAGGTAATCTCTTGCTTTCTGCCATTTCTAGCATCCTTTGAACGCTTTTGTGCATTTCTGAGTCTGTTAAATTGGATATCACGTGCAAGCAAAGTTCTGAAGCTAAGCTGTGGAGAACTGCGTGCATGTCGAGATCCCGTTTTGATCTGGATCAGAAATTTCAACGTACATTCATCGCATTGGGCAGCTGAATTTTCCTCTCCTTGCCGTTTAGATGTAGAATAAGAATATAGTTTAGCTACTAAAATTCCGAATCTTCGGCACTAAGCGCTTTTCTTTATTTTAAAGTTGACGTGTTTACGGTTGACGTTGCGTCGACGGCCAGAATTCTTTACTTTTAAACGAGTAGTACCAAGAGCAATGATGGTTTTTGTTTCTATATTTTGTTAATTTCAGTAAAAATCAGTTGTTCTCCTGCAAAGATTGTGGCAAAAGGAAAAGCCGCAGATTCGATCTTAATCTGTATTTGCTGTTTACCTTAACTTCAATAGCGTTTGTTAATTATCAAAAGCTTTCTTCGTGATACGTTGGTTAAGAAATCAAAGACATTGTTATATGAAGCTATCGACTGGACGCGCCGCCTAATCCCGTTTAATATAGTCAAGCAACTTTGAGATTCTGGCTTATTTGACACTGTATAACGGGCATTGGGGTTCAAAATAAGAAGAATAAAAAGGTCAAAATATACATCTTCTACTCTTCAAAAGAACTGGGAAGACATTCTGTCATTCCTCGCGATATTATTAGCACACAAGAATCCAGGTTTTATAATAATTGGGCATTAAAGAAGTATGGCATTAAATGACCGTTGAAAGAGTTCAAACCGCCATGTCTAAATCGTTCCAGTTTACCCAAGTTTCTATTTTTCAACAAATCATAGAATAAATAAATCTGTCTTAGCGATCGTGTTTCGTAAGTACAAACCGCTCTGTGGAAAAAGAAAACAAGAAAGAAAGGCCTTTTTAAAAATTGTCGAAGGTTATATTACTGGCGATTTACTAGAGGTAAACTAGTAGAAGCGCTGTTTAGAATTTGCGCAACACGATGTCATATCCATGACAACGAGGAAAAAGACAACTTGTTTGACTTATTCTATCGTGAGTGACGCCGTCTGTTTAGTGCGTCCGAAAATTTATACGTGTGGTTTTCATTTTCTCTTAAAGTTTTTTCGTGTGATTTTCATTTGAAGTTTAATACTTGAAGACATTTCAGCTGATTTCTTGGTAGATCGTATCTACTGAGGGTCACGTGGATTTAATTACAATGAAGTCTAAAATACGCAAAATGTCCATTGAAACATTTTTAAACCAGAGTACAAATCAGAGCGAGTGTTTTACGTTTGTACCGATTTGGTTGTGTTTAGACCACACAAAGGATTGTCTTTTAGTAGCCACGATGTTCCGTTCAGGTTTTCATTTAAAATGTCGTGCTGTGTCCCTCGCGCGGCCTCTCTTCATTGCGCAGTTGTAAACAGGAAACTAAAAAATGTTGATTTATTTTGCCGTCTGCCTCAGTGTGCGGTTCCGGAATAACCCAAGGGTTGAACCTACATTTTAATTTCGGCGGTATAACGAGTGCAAAGTGTTCTGTGGTTAAATCCTGCTGTAGATCAAGAGGTGTTCACAAAATGAAGATAACCTTTTGTATAACGCCGTTTGTTTTATCAAAAGATATCTCCCACCGTGTAATTAGCACCCATCTGTACAGTACATTTTGTAAAGCTAAACGACCGGGACGCATGTTAGCTTTAATTCGTTTCAGTTCTTCTATTTTCGGCCAAAATATTGATATTATCAAAATGCAGCAAATTTCGCAACTATCTATCTCTTGTGTGGTAGAATAAATAGAACGCTTTGTTGCTGGACGTTTCTAGTGATTGAGAGAACAAAATTAAATTAGCGTTTAATGCCTAGTCATCAATCATTGAAATGACCTTGCGACTGTGCGAGTGAATGCTGCGCGCGGCCACGGACGGTGAAGAGCGTGCAGGATAATCTAAAGTTGGCGCCAACAAAACTTCCCTTTCTTAACCTCGCTTGCCTGACATAAATCTCATTAGGTTTATTATCCTGTAAAATAAAAATAACAGACATAGCAAACACAATATGCCTGGAAATTTTGCAAAATCTCGATCACTGGTTAGTTGTGTCAAGTGCTTCAATTATTCGTGTAGTATATGATGATATTTGTCTCAAGCTACATGAAAAGGTAATAAGGAAGTACCTAATGTGCTACCCAGGATGTTAGGGAGATTACAAAACAGCTGGAGAAGGCGCACAAGGTTAATGTTGTCCTCTATAAAGAACACAAACACTGTTCTTGCGTACCTCTGGAAGTGGGTATAATCCTTTTCCTTGGGTGCCACACGCTCTAGTCACGTTTTTGAGAAATGCTATGGCCTTATGTGTCCTGCGGGCCACAATGAGGAATGAGAGAGAATGAGGAAATATTACGTTTCTTATGGCTAATACGTTACCCGGTATCAGCTGAATTTTCTTTTTCGCAAACGTGGCCGAGGGCTGGACGGGATGCACACTCCTTTTTATGGTAAGGTCAACCATTTTGATTCTAAGGTTGGTTCGAGCATTTTATTTTTTAGCCGATTCACACAGTGGCACTGTACAAGTGTTTTGAATTTCGCGTCAGATGGAGACAAGCTAAAACATTTTCGTTTTATCATTCTTGTCGCTCTCATAGAAATAGGCTTAGAGATAAGCATCAAACATTGTTAATGTAAAACTTTGTAGTAATGCTGACCAACAGACAGGTGGAAAGAATTAAAATCAGCAGAACGAGTTTTTGTTTTTGAACTATACTTAATAGGAACCTTTTTAATAACAACGTTAAGGCGTTCTTATTTTGTTCATAGCGTTTGTTTTGTTTTATGTTTTGTTTTTTCTTCTTCTTCTTCTTTTTTAATGAGAAGTATAAATAAAGGTAAAATAAATCCGGCCAAAACTGTAGTCGAACAGGAAAATAATCCAAGTGCTTTTTTCAACATTAAAAATATGGTTTTCTTATTGCATGATACACTAAAGAACATCTCAGTTTGTTGTCGAACTTAGTCTGTACTTAATGCAACCACTAAAAACTTCACGAATGAAATTACTGTTAGTAAAATGTAACGTTGTAAGCATCTAAGAACGTTTTCAGGCTCAAATCGCAAAAAAATATGAATGAGGATGTTCAGCCTCGGCTTCAAAATTACACGTTCATTTTTTTTAAAAAAAAAAAAGAGTGTAATCATTTTAAAAGCACAAAGTTATACCTGTTACAGTTAAAACTTCAACGGTTCGTAAACAGATTGGAGGAATGGCCAAGCTGTTTTTGCCAATTCTTCCAATTCGGCTAAAGTAGTTTTGGATTGTACAATTTACAATTTGGGGTAGATTATAAGGGAATAGAAAGCGACAGAAGGAAGAAAGGAATACTCCTTCGCTCGTGCGAATCTCTTTATTGACCCTGCTGATATTTCTGTACAACCCTGCTCCGGAAGCGCCTGCTGTGTTAGCTTGATCAAATGACAAAAACCAGTGACTAATCAGCTGATTACTGGATGAGTGCCGTCCAGTTCTTCAGGATAGAGGTGTCTCATATCACCTTGGTAACTCTAGATAGTCAAAAAGGTCAAGCTCTTTGTGAAATTACTATTGGCCAAGCTTTACATTATACGCGAACCTCGGTTTCTCAAGTTCCATTTTTTTGTTTGTTTGTCTGTATGTTTTTTTATCCGACTTTTCCAGAATTTCTCACGCACGAAAAGAGAGCCGTCATCACTAATGTTTCATTCTCGCTTTCTTAGATTGACTTAAATTATTATTATTATTATTATTATTATTATTATTATCATCATCATTATCATTATTATACGGTTTATAAGGCTTAAATATTCTAACAAGGTCACGCATTTACAAAACCGTCTTAAAATTAATTTGATTGATACATGTAAATAGCATAAAATTAATTACAGGAACCCGCAGAGAATACATGAAACCAGAATAATAATTAAAGGAAGTGCGGGAAACCTTTATGTTGTCGTCTTTTATCATCTTTAATATTCCAATTTCTTTTTCATAGCTCTATTAAAAACATGCGACGATCCTGGTGTCCCAAAGAATGGCTTCCGTGTGGGAGAAGACTTCGACTACAAAGCCAAGGTTGAATATTTTTGCAATCCGGGATTTAGACTCACCGCAGGGACCAGGTTACGACAGTGTCAGCAGAATAAAAAATGGAGTGGAACCTTGCCAACTTGTGAAGGTAATTACGTTTGGCAGACTACTCTACAGCAAAACGTCCCAATGGTGTGCACGTGGCGCTTATCGCAAACGTTTGACTTTTAAGTAAAGAGTATTTGCTTACGAATGCTCATATTTGTTTGCAAACTAAGGACTCTTCCTTGATCCACATTGAGGTTTGTTTTGGTTGGTTCCTTCAACGAAAAAAACCGTAAGTTCGACTGGACTATGCTTTTGCACAATAGGAAGAGTATATAACGTCAAAAACAAACTACAAATGCTTGGATTGTTTTGCGATGGAAAGGTTCTCAATTGCGTTCTCTCTGACGTCCGCCATTTTGGAAAGGGTACAAACGAAAATAGTCCCAAAACATCAGTATATCCAATGTGAAATAACCCCTGAAAGACAGATAATTTGGCTGATCAGATTTGAAAATTAATCCTAGCAATTATGCTGCAACGCTTTTGTAGTCTGTGAGTAGACGGGAAAGTGAAACACCTGTGCCTTAAGTCAACTTTCACAAAGGTAAACCGCCTTGGCAGTTCCGTAAAGCTTATAAGCTTCCCATGGCGGTTCACCTTTTCATAAAGGTCGCAAACCGATCTATTGTGGATCAATGAAAGTAGCTGAGAATTTTCAACTCTTGTTTAGCTTGGCTATTAGTTTACGGTTTTGCTGAGGCGTGCACATTTCCATTGCGTGACATAGCTGTACTGCTGATTACGTGACGCTGTGCTCTGGCTCCCAATCTGGTGTTATAGAGTTAATCCCTCCTTTTTCATACAGATATCAACGAATGCATTGAATACGAAGATTACGAAAACCCTTACACCACCAATGACGTGCAGGTCGAGCACAATCATCTATGTCACGCGAAGGCCACGTGCTTCAACACCATTGGGTCGTTCTACTGCAAGTGCAAGCTGGGTTACCATGGCGATGGAAAGTTATGCTTGTCTAGTAAATACCGAATGGTTGCTGCTCTGTTCCGAAGTAAGTGACAAAGAGCAAAGGGAGGATAAATGAGAAACCGTTTCTTTTTGGTTTTTTTTTTTCCGTGAACTTGCTAAGTTTTGTGAGAAATGCAACCGTATTGGTGCACCGCAGGTTTTTGGTCAATGTCCAAGTAAAGCGATACTTAAAGGGGAAAATTATTTTCCTATTTCATTAGGAGCCCATGATTTCGTTTAAGAAAGGCTGTCTGGAAAAGAAAGGAAGATCGCTCGTTTATTTCGATAAATCAAAAGTAAACTATCCTATGTAACAGGGGGAAACAGTTTGAGCTAGCTCCTTCTATCAATTTATATAAGTATGGCTCTTAATAAGTATGGCTCTTAAGTGTGTTATGTAAGTTGTTATTAGAGTAAATAGAACTGTAACTGAGATCGTTTACTTTGGTGTAGAAAAGACTAAAGTTTCACCGCACACTTGTGGTACGCTGGGAAATTCAAAGAATGCGACACGCATCAGACGGATTGTGGGAGGGATATCCTCAGATTATGGAGCCTGGCCCTGGCAGGTCGCCATCAGCTACAACAGCACAAGTATGTACTCCACTTTGGAGCTATTAGCCAGTAAACGCATGAAGCTTCGCTCGCTCCCACCAAGATCACTTTGATTCTGGCTTTTAAGTGATTCCCGTTCGTTAATGAATAATTCTGAAGAAATAGAAGATAGATAGACTAGAAGATTCGGGTGAAGGAAAGGAGTATGGGTATAACTGGAAAGGTTTTTCTGTCAGCATATTACTAGGCGTATAAACTGAGATCATCATGAAGGTGAATTTTTACGGTAGCTTAGATGTGTGTGGCAAAAGACTGCGGGCAGTAAGCTGTTACGAGGCTTAATACCTTTGTTTGGGGTATGTTTTTGTTAATCTCGTATTTGAGATTAAAAACGCGTATTACTACTTATGTCATTTATCATCTTTGCCGGATTTCGACTGCGGTATCTCTTAATCACAAATGAAATGATACAAATGTTCATTTATTGTTTCTATAAGACACTTTCACGCAACAATGTTAGCTAGGTCATGGACTTCGACTTGTGCGGTCCCGTTGTGGTTTTTTGACGTTTGCTTCAGACGTGGGGATACATGACGTTAAAGCCGGCTTAAATAAAATTACAGATATATTGTAATTCCTGATGCTTACAACCGCATCTAAGAAAACAATACCGTAACAAAATATACTAGTTGTGTTAACAACGCTGCCTCTAGATCTTGTTTTCATGCATCGTCTCCAGCCGGAGTCATTCTTTATTTCAGACTTTATGGAGATGTTCTGTCCTAATTAAAGGAGCATCTTTTTTCAAGGCTGAAGGTTTATGAAAAGGGGAACGAACGGGTTTAAGTATAGAAAATGTTGACAAAAACTGCTCTTTAGCGGTATTTTAAAAATTTGCTTTCAAAATATCTCGAACTGACACACGTAGCGGCTGATTCGTGCAACTTAAATTTTAGCTTAAATCAAACGGCATGAAAAACAGTGCAGTGTTCCTACAAGGTAAAATGACTTTTTTTGGCAAAATTATATCTAAATGAGGGCAAGTGCTGGGAATACGGGGCGGAGATCAGTTCTAGTCATCTCTTGACATAACGTTTGTGAGCAGTCTTTTTATACCGTCTTAATGAAAATCATTCAGACCCGTTCATGGTCAGTAAGACAAGCTCCTTGAATATGAAAGATTTATATATATTTTTTTCACCTTTTAGGAAGAAAAAGCTATCTCTTCAACGGAGCGCTCATTAAACCAGGGTGGGTTCTTACAGTAGCAAACGTTCTTCAAGTCAAAAAGGGCGTAACGCCCATAAAACCCAACAGACTTCAAGTGATATTAGGTACGTAAATCATGTTTGCTCAATAAATTGATAATATTAATTCAAGGCATTTTTCCAGACAGCATCAACCAGACTCCGCCGTGAATTTTAAATCGTTCATCAAGCGACGATCATCACAATGTAGGAATTGGCCCCAACCATATTGTACATGTAACCGTAACCAAAACCCTTACCGTATTATATACGTCTTGTTCCTCAAGAAATGCATGCTGATTCGCTATTTTTTTTTTCTCTCGTTGGCCCTTTAATAGTTAAGATGTTCAACAGCCTGTAATTATTCTATGAATCATTAGGTGAATTCAACCGTAACAAACTGGACGGTACTGAAACGCCAGTCACCGTGAAAAGGATCGTTTTGCATCCGGGATACGACCGAACTACTATGGCCCATAATATCGCTCTGTTAGAGTTGGAGAAGCCCGTTAGGCTTAATGACCATATTAGGATGGTAAGTGAGCTCGTTGTTATTGTTGTTGCTTGGCTTTCTTTCTTTGTTATTATGTAAAAGCACGAGATTAAGCACTTCTAACTGCCAGGCGCATTGATCAGTGTCTCATGGGTGTGCGTACTTGCTGCTCAGTTAAAGGGGAAAGTCACGCTATCCATATCAAAACACTACATTTCTGGAGGTAGGATAACATTATCAGTTAATGACAAATCAAACAGTAAAAACGAATATATAGTTACGGGCACCTTCAAACTTATTAAAAACTTCAGGGCATCGTGTAATGCCCAAATGGGTGAGTGTTAAGGACCCTAGTCAAACTCCGCCATTTCCGATCCCATCGAAATCATTGATATTGCATGGTTCAGAGAACCCTTATAGCTTTACTGTAAAAAGTTGTGTTCCTGAAAGTATGTTTAACTATCTCTAGTAGTTTCATAGTGATTTCCTTCGTTTCGACATGCCCCGAATAAAATGTAATAGCCAAACTCTCGCATGTAAATAAAAACGAAGGTGTGGCTGACTAGGACCCTTTAAAATCAGGATACAAACCTCCCTCAACTTGCAGCCCGAACGCCTTGTTGATCATGAAGGTTACTGTGTCGTACCAACGCTGGACTCGAAACGTTGAAGAAGATTTATAGCAAACTTTGCCCGAATGCGACTGTAGACTAACTATTTTGTAGAGATTAGCGTATTAATCTTGAGTCCAAATGAGTAGTTTTGCTGATAATTTATTGAAGGTATGCGTCCCAAAACGGAAACGAGACAAGATTTTAGAAAAGCCACTTCAGTTTGGTACAGTGGCAGGATGGGGTTCAACTAAAGCAATCAGGCTCGGTGAACCTACTGGACCTTTGTCTGCCGAACTAAGACAGGTTACAGTCCCGATTGTCCCGGATAAAGAATGCAAGGAAGCTTCAATTTATTCGTTTGACAAAGAAACCACGTTGTGTGCGGGCTTCAAAAAGAAGCCAAAAGATCCCTGCTTTGGAGACGTGGGGAGCCCCCTCGTCATGCAGCAGCCACGCTCTGGCCGCTGGATTGTAATTGGACTGTTTGGTTGGAGCGAAGGTTGTGGAAGACCAAGAAAGTATGCGTATTACACGAGGGTGTCAAAGTATAGGAAGTGGATAAATTTCATTGTCAGAAGCCGCCAGTAATTGGAGGGAGTCTCAACATTCAAATATTTGCGCGTCAGTTTTGTACCCTGTTCAGAGATCGTCAGAGTGTAAATCTGATATTTTGACTTACTGGTTCCCTTTAAAGAAAATGATGATAGCATTATAAGCCTTTAGGTTTAGTTGCTTACTGCATTTTTGAGGAATCGACGCACCCCTTGTTTCCATCCTTTATTCAGTGAAATGTCGGGACATCGTACACGACATGGAGATTTTTGTATAGGCTCCAAGTAGCTACACGTGTGCATATAATTATACAGACGTGATAACGAAGTTGGGTTGCATTTCTCGTCTTGTTTAAAACGATCGGTTTAAACTTGTCGGCACATTGATCTTTGGAAATACGCAAAGACCCAACTTTTACAACATCAACCTAACCAGAGAGAGGAAGTCAGACGATTGACGTTTCAAAAATGCAGTAGGCCCCCTAATTAAGGTATATTTCAAGAGAATGTTACTGTACGAAGCCATGGAGCTTAAATTCACTCGGTCAATACACTCTCCGAGAAGCCTTGTTAATATACGAGTACCGCTACTTTTGAATACCAATTAGCATATACGAGAATTTTTGCATTGATTATTCATAGCATTGCTACGTTTGCATTTGAATTGGAATCTTTTATTTATATTTTATAACGTTTTTTTCAATGTCATTCTTTAAAAAAAACGGTGGACAAGCCTCCAAAGAAACAAACTCGGGGGTAGACAAAATCAACTTCATATTGTTCAATTTTCATAGCGCTAGCTGTTACGCTTTATCAAGTCACAGTCGTCAAGCATCATACCTTCCTTGTCATACTACTATGTTTTTGCCTTGGTGATTAGTTCTTGCACCCTCCTAATCAGTAAAGTAGCGGCATAACGACATCATGATATAACCACTCAATCGCTTATGATCGGCATAAAGAAATCAAGAAAAGATCAGTTTTTTTTTCCTTAACTCGTTATGAGTTCATGTTATGTTGTTATTATGTCGTTATGTTCACACTGCAAACATAACTTGATAACGTCCTTTCTATGTCGTTATGTCTCTAGCTGAACTAGGCTTAACTTTCAGTGTTATAGTGCAGAGAATAGAAGACTTATGAAATGTGAAAGGTGAATTCATCAACATAACACGACCGTGGGACGAATTGTCATGTTTATCAATTCACCTTTCACATTTCATTACCGAGCTTAAAATTCTCCATCTTTATTCACTTATAGAAGACTCAATTTTCTAGTGTCATGAAACTAGTAACAGCCAATACAGTATTTATGTTGCTATACCCAGCTTGTGACACTACTTTCAAAGTAATATTTCCGTATCAAGGGACACCAAAGCTTGATTGTTTAGAGCGCTATTGAGGATTAGTGTGAATTTTTCATTCACGTTTTCTAACTTCGTAGCAAAGTGTAGTGTTTATCGTTTTACCCTTAGTTTTGAAAAATGACAATAACCTCGAGTAGAATTGTTCAGCTGGACAACTGGACTCAAGTGAACATTTATTATGGGCTACCCAAAATTGCTCTTGTTGTGAATGAAAAGAATAACAGACAACTCGATCTGACCATTCGCCATATTTGGAAAACGGTTTGGATATCGTTCTCTGTCAACCTTTTTCATTTGCTTATTTCAATACGTTTTGTTACACATATCTAATTGATAAGTTTTTTTGTTGTTAGTTTCGTCCAGAGGGAGCGACACGGTTGAACTACAAATCGAGTTTTTTGTTTGCATAAAAGATAATTGTTTTAAATTATCTTAGTCGAGAGCACGAACAATTGTTTAAACATTGGGTTTTTTCGGGTTTTTTGTGGGTGGAGAGTTTTATCTTCATTTACTCATGCTGCGACGAAGAAGGACAAGGAAGTTTGGTGAATTTCCAGATTAGCTCAGTTTGTGAGAAGAAACTGCACTAGACTCGACATGGTGAAATACAATAAAGATTGGCGAGCTTTCTATGAAAGCTTTTTTAGATAAGTTGCTGTTATTTGTAATAAATAAGCGCTCCAGTAATTCCATAGATTCACGTTCGTTAAAGTTACGAAATCGGGCTAGTGCTATAGTGGAAATTATTGCCGAAGAAAAAAAAAATCGAATTGAGACTTGCGCGATTGCAACCAGAGTTCCGAACGGAAAGAGCGAAGTCAGCAAACTTCACTTCATTAATGGCAGCAATAAGGCTAATATCTATAATGCTGCATAATAACAAATAGGTGAACGACATAAATATCGTGTTCATGAAAAATAGTGATCATGCCTTGGTTATAACCGTTCTCAAAAAGTATATTTGTGCTATCCGGATTAATATTTTTTTTCTTGTCAATCTCTTGGGAACGCAAAAGTCAGCTGAAACGTTTATATAAACAACACCAAAACAATTCCTCTAGAAGAGAATGCTAAATCTAATTAGCGATATATTTGGTTGAACTAGCAATATTTCCATATCGTAGAGGAGAAAGGAGGAGAAAGGAGAAAAAAGTCCATTTCAAACCTGTCCACAGTGTTCCGTAGGGCGGTTTTGGTTTATATTTATGTATTCAGGAAGAACTTTGATTCAGACCTTCATGCGACCCGAAGGCCGATATCATTGCTACTAAGTCATTATCATCCTCTTAACTACCGGTCGAGTCTTCTTTGGTGCTTATTCCTTACCATTTTGATCTCTTTAAAGGCGCGTTTTGGTTCTAAGTACAGAATTTTGCCGCCTACAAGAAAACCACGTCACACGACGCCATCTATATTTCGATGTTGCGATCAAAAACAAAACTATCCCCTATCCCCTAGAATATGCAAAGGGCCAAAACATGATAGGTACCAAAGAAATCTCTGGGGAGTGGGAAAGAGGTCATTTCTTAGTATTTTCAAAGGGCCACTTGCCTCGCCTACCCTGCAAAGGAGTTCATATGCGGTCCCAGCTACCCCTACACGAGGTTAACAGAGTTAACAATGAAAAGTTTAACAGATTCCGTTACGGGCTTTTAGTATGTCGTCATATTGTGCCCAGCTGACGAAAATATTGACATATTGAGGGCTACGTTTTCGATCAGGAACTAGCATTTCGCTTACTTGAAGTGTCTTTTCCAATATTCTAACCTCAATAGTACGTTGCACTAAAACCCGATGAAGGGCAATCAATTCCCGGAACAAACCAAACAAGATAAGTCATTTCATTGACATTTTCCGTCGTTTGTGAGTTTTCCAAATAACGAAAATTTAATCCCCGGGAACCTCCCATATAAAAAGGATGTGGTGCTGTTCGGATCCTATATGAGGTACCAAGATCCTGTTTTGTGGGCGTGACTTGAAATTTTTTTGACCCCTAAGAGGCACCATTCTAATACAACACATTAACTAACGCTTACATAATTTAAATGGCGATAAAGACGATTGTAAGTTAGACAAAATTACAAATTGGTTGATTGTCAAATATTTCATGACATTTTTTTTTCGGCTCAGTACCCTAAAAGGTATCGCGAAAGCTCCCGCAGTGGGTGACGGAAGCAGCTCTCGTAAGGTCTCACATGAATGGCTTGCTACCCTTTGAGAGAACAATAGAACAAACAACACAAACAATGCCCCTAGCCCTAAAACAATAACAGCTGCTAACAATGAAAAGAATTACAAGCTTACGAGAGCTGCCACACCTCTGCCCGCTGCAGCTGTGGACCTTCGGAGGATAAGAGGTACCAGAACAGCTTTTTGAACCCCTAAAATATACGACGAGCACCCCCGTCCTTTTCATATGGGGGTCCGCCCTGGGAAAATTTGGGAAAATTAATCAGGCATCCATCTTTCTTGTTTAAATCTAAAGGCGGACGTGCTTGAGTTTTGATAGCTTGCCGTCTCCACCCGAAGAACTCTTATTGTTCCTTTTCAAGCATAGGAACCATTTTCCCCCTTTTTCTCTGAAAGGTAGACGGCGTTGATAATAATTACATTATAAAGACCGGCGTTCACCGGTGCAAATTTTTCTGCAATGAAGATCATCTTATCGTCTTCCAGAGTACGTGTTCTCGGGCTTTCTCTGCATGTGTTGTTCCCGGTCAATATTTACGGCATCAAAATGATTTATTGTTTTACTCTCTTTCTCTTCAGTCCACAATGCGTCCGACCTATTGAATGTGCCTTATTGAAATCGCAAAACATTGACTTGCTTCACCTTTAAAGCCGTGTATGCGCCATGCAAAACCGCTTTGATTTGCATGACGCGTGAAGCAGAGAAATCATAGCCTGCGAACAGGCTCCTGGGGAGGACGGGAAAAAAAATCGGCCAGCGCGAAACAAAAGAATGAGCGAAGCGGCGAGACGGGCTCACCGGAAGCCTGTTTACAGGCTAAGGAAATCGCCGGTTTTACGTCATCATTTCCAAAATAAAAAATTAAAAATCCTTCTGAAGTTTTAGTTTCATCAGATATAAGACCCTTTAATCACTTGACGTTTACAACGTTTAAGCTCGACAGGGTTGTTCATTTTGTTATGGAAGACGTTTGAATTTCCAAATTTATGCGTTGCGTGACATAAAAAGTTCAAAAGAGGGGTTATCGCTCAAGTTTTTGATAACTGAACAGTTTTTGCACTAGAAGAATTATTACTTTCAATGTGTCGGAACTCTAGAGTAATTATTTTTCATTTCAGAATCAAAACTCAACGACAGATGCTTCCGTTACTTTACGACCACCATGTTGGTGCCTCTCGGAAGAGCACCAACATGGCGTCTCCATACAAAGCTCTATAAATGTGGGTAAAACACTTTTCCAATAACGCGCGAATGAGAAACCTCACAGACCTAAATCTTGGCCAGATTGTTTATATATCAATCATGTATTATATCAGACGTTACTCCCAAAAAAATTGGGTGGGGGTGACGTGTGTGGCCCGCCTCCCAAAACCCTTATCCTGTTTATGACCAAATCTGCGATTTTCCCTACCCTTCTTATGACCTGACCAAAAATTCAATACGGCTGGCACAGTTGCCCTAAACATAATTCATGACGCGCTTTTGTTGATGGCATTATCGATAATGATGAAAAAGTGGCTTCTTCTGAAAAAACATACTTAATTCAAGAGTAGAGTGCAAACTGAAAACCATACTCTATTTATGACCAAACTGGCCAAAATCGATAACTCAACGGCTGAAAACCTGTACCCTTTGGGGCCTCACATATAGCTCATATAAGGGACTACCCCCCAGCCCCCATCCCCGGCTCCAACGGCACCTTCTTCAAATAGGCTGTGCTGAAGTAATCTTGCAAATGTCACTTTTTGCCTGCTGTTTGTGGTTTTTGCTCCCCGTTATTTTAGTGAATGTAAAACTTCGGAAGGCATGAAGCTGGATACGGATAGCCTCTTACGCTCGGCTCTTGGCTTAGATTGCGTGACGCGGCACAAGGACGTCTGAGTAGGCCTAGAAGATGGAATGACTTAATAAAATCTTATTGACAAATTGTGAAAATAATTTTATCAGTGTCTTAAACTTGTAAAGAGACGAGACAAAACAATCGATATGCTAGTATTAGAAACCACCCTATAAGAAGTCTAATAATGTAAGCTCTAAAAGCCGTACTTTTCTACAACACCGGGTGTAGATCTCAATGGAACACAGAAGACCACACAGTAAAGAACTAGCACGACATGAGGAGGTAATGATGGCGCGAGTAAAGAGAATTTACACTTTCATAAGCGAATTTTAGCAAATTAGTTTTCTTTCTTTTTCTCGCAGTGCTTTAAAGGAGCTCAGTCACGGTTTGCGCATATTGAAAAGTTTAGCCTCAATTTTTAGCGAACCCTTCTGTTTAAATCTTGGGTGTACAAAAATCTGTTCCGGAGAAATATCCTGTTGGGAAGTTTCATTAACAGACAGGTTGTGATCTCCAGCTTTAATTTGGTAACTGAAAAACATAACAGTATTAAAAGTGTGTTTACTAGGTTAATATGAGCAATATGTGTCCATGCATAGCTCATGTGCGCTTTGTGGTTTGCAGTTATTTCTACAGTATTGGATCGTTGTAATGCCAATTTAGAACTACTATTATTTTAATTGACAGCCATACTGCTATACTTATAGGGAAATTATTACAGTTGCTTTTAAATAATAACGGCTCCGGCGGCCCGAAGGTTCTACTCTTATGGTTATGGTGCTCCGCTTGTCACTGGTAATGCATAATGTTATCAGAAGTGTAAAGAACATTTAAATGAGCTGAAATGCAAATTTTCAGGTTCATATCCTCGAAAACAGGAATTCTTATGGATGTTTTAAAAAAGTTAGAAGGATTTGTAAGGGTAGACGCTTTACCCTCCCGCCACGCTCCAATGTTTTCCCATACAAATTCTTGTAATTTTGCAAGTTTTAAAAGTGCCTTAAAATCTTGGTCTTTCGATTTAAAATTCTGAAATGTTCCATTTTCTCTAATATTTAACCCCTCGTTATATCTCTAATTGTCATATGCCGGCAACTTCATTTCGTAGTGATTAATAACGGAAAAGGTTATAGGAGGGCAAAGGTTCCTCGCTTCTGTACAAAACCTTCTATTTTTTTGCAATATTCAAATCGTCACTTACAGATCTGTGTTACTCATAAACGATTCTCTTTTATAGAAACAGTGAGCTGCTGTCAGCACCCAGCGACGAGATATAAGGGCACCACCGCAACGAAAGTCAGGGACTGAAAAAAGGTGAAAGAAAACAAAAAAGGAAAGGGAGAGGTGCATAAGTAAAAAGATTCATATTGAGATATATAATTATTTTCATCCTCTCGCCTATCTCACAAAGATAAGAGGTCTGTAAAGTCCGTTCTAGTCCTAGGAGGCAGCGTGGCCGCGTGGTCAGCGTGTCGGACTCGCAATCCAGCGGTCCCTGGTTCGAGTCCCGCTCTGGCCATTACCTGGAATTGTTCCTCGGTAGCCCCAAGTTCATATCCTCGGTCTCGCTTGCAAATAGCCAGCTGGTTTGCCTCCGGCCAGTTGGCATTCTTGAAATTT